AGAACTGAAAGAACAAATAAGGTGAATTATGAGGAGACAGGCTGGCCAAGAACTCAAGAGCTTACAGGAAAATGGAAAGTCCTTCAAGCGGAAAAATAAATGAAATCTTCATATAATAACATAAGGAAATGGAGCAAATCTATTAAAATTAGACTTTTAATGGAGAAGTAAGCGTTCCCTCAGGTAGCTTTGAAAATTAACATAGTAGAATAGTATCTTATGCCTGAGAAGGAAATGGAAATAGTTAAAAAGGGTTGAGAATTAGATCAAAAGTACATATGCCTGGTAAAAATTGAAAAATAAAATCTAGCAAAGAGAAAAATAAGTGATCATCAAAAATCAAAATGCTAACTCTATATGAAGATCTATTATTGTTCAAGGCTTTTATCTGAATTACTCTTTTAGTTCCCATACACATCTGGATTTATGAGTGGCCTTCAGTCTGTCTATATATCTGTTTGGCCTTGACACAAATTTGTGTGTGTGTGTGTGTGTGTGTGTGCGTGTGCATGTGTATGCTTGTATGCACATGTGTGTGCATACACGTGAAGGCCAGAGGTTGATGTCTGGTGTTTTCTTAGATCTTGTTCCACCTTATTTTTTGAGACAGGGTCTTCTCATTAGCTCATTTAGATTACCTACCACTGAACTTCAGGTATCCTCCTGTTTCTGCCACCCCCTGCCCTGGGGTTACAGATGTGCATTGCCACCCTTGGCTTTACACTAATGCTGCCATTCCAGGATCCACTGCTTTCCTTGGGCCTTCTGACTCACCTCCTATATGTTCTATATGCTGAGTTTTTAGTCCTGTTATAGTGCTTCTGACTCTGGATTCTTTCCTGATACTTGCTGGCATAGAACTATCCCTGACCTCTTTCTGACAGAAGAGAATATGCTAATAACAGGGATTTAAGGGAAGGTATACTGACAACAAAGGACAAAAATAAAAAGGAGAAGAAAACATCTGGCAGAGGCACTATGGTATGAAATTTAAGAGGAGAAATACTACTTTGAAAAGCCCATTACAATCATCTATATTTTTTATTGTTCATTTACTGTTTATTATCTTCCTATTCTCACAGCAAGGTTTTCCATTTAGCCGGGAAGGCTAGGAAGCAGTAGCCCTGGCAAGATGGTGTAGTGGAAGAAGAAACTGCTACCTGACTGGTTCTCTGGGAAGGTACCATCACAGAGGTCAAGGTGCGGAGGGATTGGGGAGATCATTACCATTATTACAGTGGGAGATGGCTTACTTTGAGTCAAGCAATAAATAATGTATTTCTATGTAAGCTTAGGCATAAACTTTAAGAAGTCTATAAACATCAGGAAGATTACAAAAGGTCAATGTGGTGTTATCTATTGACAGACACAGAACAAAAACAAACCAAAATGCAGTAATCTCATAATTTACGCATTAGAGAGGAGGGTATCTCAGAATTTTTAACTGAACATAGAAAATCAAGCAAACAGCATTTTGGCTTGGTCATCTCTTTAAAGAAATCTTATTTTTAACTGACCACAACTGAGGAAAGATGGAAACACATGTTCTGTTTATCTTTAGACTCAGGATACAATGTATTTTGGGGAAAACTAAAAAGGCATTTGGTTCTTACCAAATACTTACACATTTTGACACTGTTTTGATTCCTATATGACAATGTATCTCCTTGGTTCCTTTTCTACTATATTCCTTTGTCTACCAAGGTTGGTGCTCTTATTCTGTCTCCTTTGGCTCTACCTATTCTTTGGTTATCTCTCCTTACTCTGTACTCAACCATCCTTTGTTCTCTTATAATCCCTAGTCTGTATTCTTAGCCAAGATCTCTTGCTTTAAGATTCAGAGAGCTATAAGCAAATGACCAAATGACATAACAGCAGCTTTTAAGCAGCTTTCCCTATTTCTGGCCTTTCCAACTTCAACCCATATTTTGTAGTTCTGACAGTGATTGGTCACTGCCCTACTCAAAAGTTTTCAGGGCCAGCGAGATGGCTCAGTGGATAGGGACCACCAAACCTGACCACCTGAGTTCCATCTCTGGGACCCTCATTGTGGGAGAAGAGAATGGCCACTTCCAAGTTGTCCTTTGACCTCCACATGTGTGTCTGGCACACAAACTCCCACTCCCTACACATACACACAAGCCTGAAGCATTAAAACAAGGGACTAAAGTCCTTAATATGATAAACAAGGGGCTTCAGTATGTACGTAATTCCCTCTCTCCAAAGGTAATTGTAGTTCTCTGAGCAAGTCCGACTTGCTCCCATGCTTTGAAGACTAGTCTATAGTTTTTGAAAATTCTGCCCCTGCTATAACTATTATGAGGTTGTATTACACATGTTGAAAACTAATTTAGCTGCCAAGTTAAATCTGGTATTCATTGAGCGTATTCAATATGCTGATACTAAGTTCCTTTAGCCATAGGGCTTATAATTCTCTTTCTTCTGTAGGGGAAGTAAGGAAACAAACACAGAACTAGTAAAGTTGTGATAATGCTTAATATTAAAAGGGAAGGGCAGCAGTGGTGAGTTTAGGCTGGGTAATGAAAGCCTTCTCTGATGAAAGGATGCTTAACCCGAGACGACCTTACCTTTCGGACATTTTTACACCCCTTCAACACATTACACCTCTCAAAGCATTCAACATACTGTTTTAAATTTATCTGTATTTATATCCCACTGTATACTCATTTCTTGAGGGGAAGAATAGTCTTTTCAATGTGAGAAATCCTTTCTTCATACAAAGTCTGGCACAGTACAAATGGCATCAGCTACTTCTTAAATTCATGGAGTGACAAAGAGCTCACATCAAAGTTTTAGGAACCACAAACAGTTAAGTAGAACAGATGTTACAAGTTCCATTCCTCACACTCAAACCTCAAAAGAGGAAAATAGATGATGGAGCTAATCCAGACAATTCAATATGATGCCTATTAGCTACTCAGGCTCTTCCCAAGTAATGCTTATGCCTCAGACTGTCTCCTCTTGGCCTGCTTTCTCTGCATCCACAGGTCACTTCATCTCACTCAGAGTTCTGATTCCCGGCTCGCTATGTTTTTTCTCCCAGAGACTGACTTTAATAAGCTTTACTCTGGCTTCTACTTTTAACTATACCTACTAGAATCTCAGTTCTCTTACTCTTGACAGTCACAGGACAATCCAGTGACCCTTATTTTCTCCAAATGGTTTTCAGTTTTCTAGTTTATACAAATGAAGAGTGGCTGAATTAACTAGTCACATGATGCTATTATTGCTTTACAATGAACCTTGCTCAAACATCTAGGGTTTCTCAATTCTGAAAGTGATCATATAACTTTTTCTTAAATATGGGACACTCCTTGAAAATGAAAACTGATGCTTAGGGTAATTTTGTGCAGTAAGTATAAACCAGATTCTTTGATCCCCTCAATGCCAAGCAGTTTCTCAAGGAGGCCCATTTACAGAAATGTCTTTTTTTTTTTTCTTGGCTTGTTTGTCTTGGCAAGGCTGGTCCCTTGTACTGTAATGTCCCATTGTTTCACAGTTAACCCTGTCAGTGCTCAAAGAATTTTCTAGGACATGCCAGGACTTTGGACAAAGAACTTCCACTTCATATATGGAAGTTACTAATATAAATAATAATAACCCAAGCTAATCATCATAGGACTCTCATGGTCGACATTATGAGAAGTCTACTGTGTGTTTTTGAATTCTCACTACACCTATAAAGCATCTCTCCACTTTACATATAAATGACACTAAAGCGTAAGGAGGCTAATATACTTTAACGCATATACTAGTACACGCAGAGTTTATACACTTAATCCCAGGCATGTTTGCTGCAAGCAGCCATCTTCTGAACTATTGTTAAATAACCACGACTATAAAATAATCCTTTAATGAAAAAAAGGGGGAAATATCTACTGCTTTTTAAATCCTATATTTCTCTTTTAACAACTATAAAATATTGATTACATAACACTTATTTCCCAGACTAGTGGGTCTCTAAAAGTCTACATTTGTGTCACTCTACAGCAAAATAATTTGATCATTTGATCAATACGTGTTATGTTTGGAAATTATATTTAGAATTAAAAGTGAACATAAGTCCTAATATTTTTTTCCTGCATCCCAAATGATTAGGTATCTGGCCCACTCCCTGACAAACCATTCATTCCTAAGCTAGTGCATTCCAAACATTAATGCACACAGAAATTGCCGGGCTATTTTGTTTTTATATAGATTCTGATTTAATATGTTTGGCTGGCCTCCTAAGTGATGTCAAGGTTGCTCACTCATGAAAACATTTTGAGTAACAAGAATATAAACAAGGGATTAATGTTTGCTATTTTCTAGGAGGTAAAATAAATAGTTGATCTAAAGTCAACCATCTACTTTCACCACAAAACTGAGATGTTTTAGATCATACAACAATCATCAGATACATTAATCAGAACAAAGAAATAAATACCTGAAATGTAGGTATTCATTATGACTTGGAATAAGCCTGGCTAAAAAGAACAAAATACATAAAAACTGACTTTGTTCTGATATCACCAAGAAAGAGACAGAACAGCAAAGAGGAAAAAAGAAAACATGGACAAATTAATTATAGTGCATGCTTTTCATCTGCTTCCAAAGTGAAACTGGGCAGAAAACCTGTTCACATTTATATTTATGTTAATAGAGTTAGTGCAATCTACTTTGTTCAGTTTTGACATAAATAAATGCAAAATGACAAAGTCCAAACCATACTAATTTTTAAAGTCAATCAAATTTATACACCTTTAGAAGGCCCAAATACTTTAAATGTATAGTACCTAACCTATGAAACTCAGGCACATTCAGAATATAAGCAAAACGAAAGCAGAAAACATTTTGGTTTTAAAGTTTTCCAACTGCCTAACAAAACCCTAATCCAATACCACCAACTACATGAAAACATTTCATATCGACTCTCCAATAATATCCAATAGTCAAAATCCCCACACAACTAACATCATACCCAAATTTCAGTTATTTACCTTGTCAATCATTTTTCTTGCTTCCACCTCCTCACTGTTGGGATTCTCTAACTCAATGGTATAAGTACCCTTGTCACTTTGGTCATCATCATTATCCTTTTCTGAAGGAGCAGAAGTAGCTTGATTTTTTAACATTTTATCCATCTCCTGGCTTGGTCTGTGCCCAAGACTCCCTGAACTTCTTAATAATGCAGTTTGTAGGAAGGGTATTGGCACCGATGGCTCCTCTGATTTCTGTTTTAACAATTTCCCATGTGGAACACCATGCCCCCCTCTGTGATGCGCAGAGCTAGTCTGTAAAGACAAAGAAACCACTTTGGCATCTGCTGTTGGAGATTTTGCTTTTTCAAGTTTTGTATGTGGTGCTGAGAAAGTAGCTTCCTGACATAAGATTCCTGTACTTTGAGTAAAAGAATATAACCTTCTTTTTCTGGAATGGTCTTCATCAAAGAATTTAATCATAAAAGCAGTTTGACTTACAACAGCTTGGTCTTGATGCTTTTCAGTAGACTGGACCTTCTTTTTCTGTTCTGAGTGATGGCGTCGTAAATGTTCCTCAAGAGTTGCACGCTTGCTACAGCGCCTGTGCGCCCCAGCATTCTCTGAATCGCTCTGTGTACCATCATCGTGTTTATTTCCTGGACACAAAAAAGAAATCACATAATAGAGAAGAAAAAAAAATCAATGTAGAAAATTAGAAGTACATACAAAAGTGCTATTTGTTTTGACATCCTCCCCCTTCCTAACCCAAAGTCATATGTTCTTTTCAGTAACAGGCTCTGCAAACTTCCTCAAATGCAATGGTTACATTCAAATTTTATCAAGCAACAAGGAAGTCCTTCAGAAACAACTGAACGGGATGAATTTCTCTAAATCCTAACTTTATAAAGATTCATGAGTGCCTCAAAAGATAAGCAGTGTTCCACCATCTGTCATAGTTTATATTTGTAAGTACAATACATGTTAATTTTGTCTTTGAATCTTCAACTTTTGGTAGCAATAAAAACAAACAAACAAAAAAATCACCTGATTCTAACACAGAGATGAAAAAAGGTAGGGGCAACTGAAATGCTTATTAAACAGAGAACACAAATGGCATAAAAAATGGAGTATAACCTAATTTATGACAAGGCTCAAAAAATTTGTAGTTCAAAGAGTTAAAGGATGCTAAAAATCCTATCAAAGAAAAAGGAAAGCCACGACATCCTTTCAATTAAGCACCTACCCTACTGTGCAAATAACATGGTGCTAAATAAAAGCAGATATCAGGTCCTTAAAGCATACATATAGTCACATTAGAGATGTATGCCTAAGGAAAACCATTTTTCCAAACATTAGAATGTAGTTGAACTTTGAAAAAACAGTTTCCAAACAAAGGTTTCTCTATTATCAGAGCAAGTAAAAACCAACATATAGGTAATTAATTCTTAAGAGTTTTGTTAGGGACTGGGAATAACATTATAAAAATTACTTGATTTTTTTTTGCTTATTTAAAAAATTTCTCGCCGGGCATGGTGGCGCACGCCTTTAATCCCAGCACTCGGGAGGCAGAGGCAGGCAGAACTCTGTGAGTTCAAGGCCAGCCTGGTCTACATAGTAAGTTCCAGGACAGCTGGGGCTACAGGGAGACCGTCTCAAAATGACCAAAAAAAAAAAAAATTCTCTACCTAGATAAGCGTATTACAATAATCAAATAATTATTGTATTATTACTACATCAAATTATTGAAAAGTCAAGATAAGTATATCAGAATAATTGAATGTTATTTTATTATTACTACACTAAATTATTGTAAAGTCAATAGTTATTCTATGCATGTTTGAGAGGGAATCAGGTTTTAAATTCTTTGGAAGTTAAACATTGGCATATTCCAATCTGGCAGAAGTAATCTTTAAGTATTTCTGAGCTGTGTACTTTAATGTGACCCTTCTAAATAATGTGCTTTCCAACAAGAGAATGATCAGAAAGCCTGATGAGGTGTATGAGTGGAGGAGAGATGTATGCCTAAGGAAAACCATTTTTTTCACGCTCACTTCTTGTTTCTAATGGATTTATAAATGACCAACAGTGGTAACAATTTAACGTAAGAGAGTAACCTGCAAAATGTGACGTATAGAAGAAATGAGAAGAGCAAAGAAGAAAGGAAGGGTGTCTTGAAAAAGTCTAGGAGGAGAAATGGGAGGTGGGTGGCATTCCTATCAAAGTGACAGTGATTCATACAGAAATCAAACATGACAAATACAAAACCCCTCAAATTATTAACCATCTAAAACACAATCAGAAAAGAAAAAAAAAGTGCTTAATTAATAGAATCCTGGCCACTGATAATGATCTAGGAATCACGTATAGCAGATGAAAAGCAAAACTAACATTTGCTAGTTCAAATGCGATTTTCACTATAACACTCTTTACAAGCTGTTTCACTCGTGCTGAGTAAGACAACTGAGTAAGAATTCAGTTTGCTAAGGTTCAAAAAGAACAAACTCTAATTTCCTATATAATAAGACCAAATAACTTGAAACAGACTAATATTCAAATGTTTTAATGAAGATGACCATTTTCCTATCTTTCCTGTAATTGCTATTCCTTCTAGCATTTGTATGTGACACAAGGCAAGGTGGTGAGCCATCTGATCAGAGCTGCAATCTTCTGTGTTTACTCAACAAAACATCACTAATTCTCCTTAACAGGTTTCTCTTCCTCTCTGCCTATCATTAACCATGCCTAAATATACTGAAGTTTATGATTTCTTATATTAGGTTAGCTGTCCTTAGTGAGAAGCTGTAGCTAAAAGCAGCTGCAACTCTCCTAAAGGGTGAAAGTGTATGGGCTTTGTGAACATTATTTTCCTCACTGTCCCAAAGCGCGTGCACTTTACTCTTGTAGGAGCAAGACATCTATCTATCTATCTATCTATCTATCTATCTATCTATCTATCCTATGCATCTATCCATGCATCCATCATCTATCTACCTACCTATACATATATCCATCCATCCATCATCTATCTACCTATCCATCTATCCTTCCATCCATCATCTATCTATCTACCATCTATCTATCTATCTATCTATCTATCTATCTATCTACCTACCTATCCATCTATCTATCTACCTACCTACAATTATTAAACTGATTTTAGCATTTGCTAAAAGTCTAGGTTTCATAAAATTGTTACTAATATGTAATTACATTTATTTAGAATCTGAATGTACCCTTTTGATAACTTAAATAGTAGTAAATCATCTAATGATAGCAGCTTTGATTTTTGGAGAAAAGTCAAATGTCACTTTTAAATACATATGAAGAAATAAGATGGATATGTTTAAGATACAAAGTGAGTTATTCCTGTGAAAGAGTTTTTTTTTGTTGTTGTTTTGTTTGGATGGCTTATAAAACAGCAAATGTAAAAGTAAAGTTCCCAGTAGTGCCACCATAAGGGAATATGCTTACCTAGAGTCAACTTCAAAGGGCAACAGAAATGTGTCTAATTTCTAGCCAAGGCTTTTTTTTTTGGACAGGGTCTCCTTAGCCCCAGCCAGCCTGTAGACCAGGCTGCCATGCCCAGCTAATTTCTGGTAAAGTGTTATACTACCTACTGACTACTGTAGAGATACAATGCTCATGTGGATACTAATGCTTCTGTATGTGATGAGGCTTAGAAAGAGGCTTGGAGAAGAACAAAATGTATTAAAAATGAGGGTTTAAGCCAGGCATGGTGGCGCACGCCTTTAATCCCAGCACTTGGGAGGCAGAGGCAGGCGGATCTCTGTGAGTTCAAGGCCAGCCTGGTCTACATAGTGAGCTCTAGGACAGCTGGGGCTACACAGAGACCTTGTTTCAAAAAGACCAAAAAGAAAAAAAAAAAAAGAGGGCAATTAACAGCAAATACAGAAATCTATTAGAATGAGTAAAATGACTGCTATGAAAGGATTCAATCAAGATTTTTATTTATTTTGTGTGTATGAGTGTATTGACTCCATGTATCTAAGTGCACCTGTGTTGTGGAATGGCCAAGGAGGACAGAAGAGGGCGTCGGGCTCCCTGAAACTGGAGTTATGGACTGTTGATAGCTGCCATGTGGGTACTGGGATTCAAACCTGGGGCCTCTGCAAGATTAGTCAGTGCTCTTAACCACTGAGCCATCTCCACAAGTCTCCCAACAAAGATTTTTAAATGGTTCCTTCCTGAAGGATCTTTTCAGCACGATCTTTGTATATTTAGTAAGAGTATGAGTCTTTTTTTTTCTTCGGTCTTTTTGAGACAGGGTCTCCCTATAGCCCCAGCTGTCCTGGAACTCACTATGTAGACCAGGCTGGCCTCTGTCTCCTGAGTGCTAAGATTAAAGGCGTGGGCTACCATGCCTGGCTAAGAGTAAGGGTTTTAAGAAGACTTAACAAATTTTCAAGGTACATGCTATCTCCTGTATTATCCTAGAATGAGTATTATTTATCCAATTCATATTAATGATTACAATTTATAAATGTGTTTTTTTCTTCTTTTTTCTTTCTTGAGACAAGGTCTCCCTATAGCTCCAACTAGCTTGGAACTTGCTATGTAGACCAGACCAGGCTGGTCTTGATCTGAGATCTGCCTGCCTATGCCTTCCAAGTGTTGGGGTTAAAAATGCAGGCTTTCAGAGTGCTCGGTGTCCCTATTCCCTATTGGCAATTTGAGTACCCCTTCAGAGGATGGCGTGATTAAGAATAGGAGGTAGGAATTGGCTAGGCAGTTAGGGTAAAAAGACCCCCAAAAATGTAGCCAGTTTCTTGGCTAAAAGTCAAAATGTCCTTGGGCCTTTTAGCAACATACTCTGTTCCAAGGCCAAAAATGTCAAAAGTATTTGGGAGCTTGTATCTAATCCTTAAAAGGTTTTAGGGTTACCTCTTCAGAGGGGAGGGAGTGGGCATGGATTTGATTAAAACACCTTATATGCATGTATGAAACTCCAATAAAATTTTTGTAAAAATTAAAAAAAGATAAAATGAAGGCACTGAGTTAAAAAAATGCAGGCTTTTTATTTGTGAACTCTAACCTACATATGCATATATATCTTAATTGTGTATAAAATTATATAGTATGAGTAAAAAGACCACAATTACATCTCAAAAGTCCCTATGTCAGGTAACTGCTGATGAATATAACTGAATATTGTAATAGGTACCAATAAAGGCTTAGGGTAATCACATGATCTGACTATACTGAGATGTCTTAGGAGCAAATTAGAAATAAGTATATATTATTATTTCTTCATTACTTGACCAGAAGTTCAGGCATAAGTTAATGAATGCTCGAAACCAATCATATCACATATGGAGAGGTCCCAGAAGAAGTGCTAAGAAAGAGAGAATGCCACATATGGTCCTTGACCTCAGTGAGTATTCCTATAGAGTGAATTAGCTCCTAATAAAGCCACAGAATGGTGAGATTCACAGATAATCATAATTTGTTCAGTATCATTTCCTTATTGATAACATATTAAATACAAGACAGTAAAACAAATTTCAAAATAAATTTAGTTGGTAAAACCATTGGGGAAAAAACCGATCAGCTGATATAATCAATATACATATATAAAAATTTTAATAATTTTGGTCAAGTGTTGTACTAATAAATCATATATAATAAGTAACATATAATGTAAGACTAATGCTCATAAATGAACATTAAATTATAATTTTTGTACTCTTGATAGCAAGAAAATTTAGATTTATTTAGATTAATGGACATCTAGTAAGTATGTGAAAACTTGTTTTGTAACTTCTAAAAATAGTTTGCAGTTCCAAAATATTCCATTAATAATGTGACTATATTATCTAAATGGAACTTTTAGCCTACATCAAATAGCTTAAATTTGTTCTCAACATCAAGATATGCTACTTTACTCAAAGCATGATAAAGAACTGTATATATATCTTCTTTAAATCAAGAAAATGATGGAAATTATTTTCTAGAGCAGTCTACTTGTGAAATGAATAAACTTTTATTACCACAGGAAAAATAACATTTAATGACATAAATAAAAATCCAGTAAAAGCAATGTGGTTTTGGCAAGAAAATGAAGAAAGACTATCTTGAATGAATAATCTGGTCATGAGCAGGGCGTATGCTTTAGAGCTTGACAATTAAATGTAAATTTTGAAAAAGCAGATGTTTTCTACTGTATAATTATCTAAATGTAGTTTGGTAACTTTGGAGACTAAATTTCCTTTGTGACACAATAGGAATTTCTGAAATTTACTTTACCTTTCAACCTTTTCAAATACACTGGAACATCACTTTTAATACTTTTGGAGTCCTCTTCTGTCCGTTCCCATACCATCTGAGGGGGATTGTTTTGAGCTAGCCAGTCAGCTACTTTGTTTTCCGGTGCCATCATTCCTGTCTGAATTCCAGGCAAGTCTTGAGTTCCAGGAGAGGACTTCTTTGACTTGTGGCGCTGATCAGAAGTAAATTTTGTCACATGGTCTCTAATAGTTACTTTTCCTGGGGTACTGTCATCAAATTCAATGGTAAATGAAGCATGCCCTGCACCTGCTGTATGGGAACTTGGTGTGTCCTTGGTTGGGATTTCATGAATAGTGCTCTCTGCTATTTGTGATGGCTGTTGAAATTCTTTTGTAGGGATTTCAAAATAACTTGGTTCCCTACAGAAAGGAAAAAGTACTTCTTCATTTGCTGCTGCAGACTGTTCCTCAACTTGCTTGGCATCTACGCTGTACCCTAATGAGAAAAATGAGAGAGAATTCAAAATATTTGGGAGCTTCTAGGATTTGAGGGTCAATGATAATGACCATTCACATCACTTTGAGAATTAGAGACAGATCATAGTCTGGATGAAAATCAGTGGCACTTATACCAGAGAAAAAAGTGTCTCAAAGATGAAAGAATCTTGAGTATTATTCAATCACCAACAAGAGATACAAGATGAGTAGCAGAAATGGCAAAGGATAGCAAAGCAGGTAAGAGGGATCTTGCGTGGATAGGGCCATAAATTCCAACATGGATAGAGATATATATATATATGTATTTGTCTATATATATACATATACAGATGTATACACATATAAAAAGGATAGAAAAAGTGTAAATTTTTCCTCACCAAGTCAGCAGGATGAGCTGTTTGAAACATCTGAAAACAAATGTGGTGCTCTAATAGAGACTATGAGGATGAAAACATGAAGTATGTAAGTGATTCTTTGGAAGCAGATTCCACTTACCATTCTCTATCATTATATTCAGAGACCCCCTTTTTTTTTTTAGGACAAAACTGGTATTACTGATGTGTGATCCTTGGAAGAAGACAGACCCATTTTATATGATAAAAGAGTGGTTAAAGATAAAGTATGTGGTTTGCTTGTAGCATGGGCGCCAAGCAACAGTACGAAAGAAATAATATGAAAGTAGAGTTGTTTGTTGCCAGCCAGTAAGTCTAGAAGAGACTTAGCTTGCATTAATATATAGCAGATGTGCCAGCTGCCAAAAAGTACTTAGAAGAAAGCTGAATTGAACGTTTCAGATTAATAACAAAACGTGGCAAAAAAGAAAGCAAATAGGGATCACTATTCTCCCATTACTTAAAACACTATGGAAAGATATGAAAATAGATGACTTCATCAATAAATATACAAAGGTATACAAATGAAAATGACAACTACAATACCTTGAATATGTATTATTGTACAAATACACAAGGAAAATGTAAAGATCAAATTGATCCTCGGTTGAAAAAAATGAAAGTATTGTCAAGATGGTCTACTATTGAGAATAAATTAAAGTGAAATATATTTCCCTAAGGGTTAAATATCAACTCTGTTTTCAAACTGAGTCATAGAAAATCAGTAACAATTTACTAGGAAGAAAAGGCAATGCAGGCAAACTAAGCTGGTATGAATTATTTTCTAATTGTGTAAAGTATTTACTCTGCTGACGTACCTTCAAATATTAAATCTTGGTACAATTCATCAGGTACTAGAATTGAATATAAGTTTTTCATGAAATTTTCTACTTTTATGATTAGAAGAATGAGGTGGTAACATTCTATAATCAAATCAAATGTGTACAATATAATATTGAAGGCATCTGGCTCCATTACAAAAATTAGAACAATCATAATCATCATTATAAATTGTCAAAAAATCTACGCAGAAGGCAAAGAGAATATTTAAGAATATTTAAGAATAACAACTTTCAGAGTAAAAATTATTTTTTTTAATTTACTGCTTATTAATAAAAATGCAAAACTTTAGGGGAAACTATGACTACACCAGGTGACAAAGGTAAGACAAAAACGAAGAGCAGACACATGGCCTTTGAATCATCGCACCAGCACCATTTGGTGCCTAGAGCAGTTTTAACAAACTTGAAAGGATCCTGAGGACATAGCTGTAAGGTAACTTACATAACAACGATTCTGAGTAACAGAGGAAAAAAATCTATGTTCTTAGCTTTCTTTAAGCTAAATTATTGTGCATTTCACAATAATTTGGTAATTGGTTTAACTTGGAAAAACAAAAACAAAAACAAAACTCCATTGTTTTTTGTTTGAAAAGCTCAACCATGTGGAAAATTCAGAATGTGAAGAGAGATTCATTTCCCTGAAGATAAAAACAGATGAAGTACGGTCCTTTTAGAACACTGGTATTGCCTGTATGTAAGTGCACCCATGTTGTGCAGTGCCTGAAGAAGACAGAGGAGGGCATTGGATCCCCTGGAAATGGAGTTACAGACAGTTGTTAGCTGCTATGTAGGTGCTGGGATCTGAACTGGATCCTTCGCAAGAGGAGACAGTGCGCTTAACTGCTGAGCCATCTTTCCAGCCCCACATGTAACATTGAAATGTTGAGACCAAGTTAGCACACAGAACAAAGATACTGCTAAACTGTAGACATAGCTCCCTTACACAATATTCATACCAAAGTAATTACCATAGCTTATTCTACAGAATTAGATTGTGCTTTTTTTTTTTTTTTGGCAGCATGGTAAGTTATCTGGAGATTCCAGATTCACAAGGACCCAGAAAGGGGCCTTTAAAAAATGATGAAGAACATCTTTTTTCTTGAATGCTCATAGTCCCTACAAAATACTGAGCTTTTAAATTTTAAAAATCAGTACCCAAGAAGCACATTTTTAAAATAGTATTTTGGGGTGTGGTAGTGGTGGTACAATTGTGCCTAGGGAGCAAATCCAGAGTCTTACACATGCTAGGGCAAGCATTCCACCATGGAACTATATTTTCTGCTTGCAAATCACTTTTTTTTTTGGTCTTTTTGAGACAGGGTCTCCCTGTAGCCCCAGATGGCCTGGAACTCACTATGTAGACCAGCCTCAAGATCACAGAGATCCACCTGCCTCAGCCTCCCGACTGCTGGGATTAAAGGCATGCGCCACCACCCCTGGCGCAAATCACTTATTTTAAAAAAAATTATTATTTTTACTTTATGTGTATGAATGTATTATTTACATGTATGTAAGTGCACCGTGTTGTGCAATGCCTGCGAAGGTCAGAAAAAGGTGTCAGATTCCCTGGAACTGGAGTTAGGACTGTCGTTAGTGCTATGTGAGTGTTTGGACTTGAATCCGGGTTCTCTCCAAAAGCAGTCAGTGCTCTTAACCACAGAGCCATCTCTCCAGTCCCACAAATCACTTATTTTTTATTTTTTAGTGGCTAAAATGCTTGCTACCCAAGCGTTCAGACCAGCGTTTATCCCAGCACCCACATAACTGCTGGGTGGGCATCAGCATCTGGAAGACAAACAGAGTGGGTCTCCAGAGAAAGTTGGCTAACCAGACTAGCCATTCTGGTGAGTTGTGTGTTCGCTAAGAGACTCCGCCTCAATTAATATGATGGAAAGCTATCTAGGAAGACACCTGAAATCAAGCTGGGGCCTCCGTATATACATGCACATGTCCTTACCCTTCCCACATGCATACATGTAGGATCACTGTTTTAAAAATTGGTCAAATTAAGCAAATTTGGTATGGAGTCTACAATATCTGCTTGTTTCCTAAAATACTTCAGGTCAGTACATTTCTTCCCCTATCTTACATTTTATTATTATTATATTACTCTTTTTTGTGTGTATGAGTGCATTGCTTGCATGTGTGTAGGTGCACCTGTCTCATGCAATTCCCGCATCAAATTCCCTTGGAACAGAGTGGTTAAGAGCACTGACTACTCTTGCAGAGAGCTCGGGTTCGATTCCCAGCACCCAAATAGCAGCTAACAACTGTCTGTAACTCCAGTTCCAGGGGAGCCAATGCCCTCTTCTATCTTCTGTGGGCACAACACGACATAGGTGCATTTATACCCATGCAGGTATTAACACTCATACACAAAAAATAAAAATAAATTAAAAAATTAAAAAATCTGAAAAGGTTAAATCTGAAGTAGTAGCATTCTTATATCAATATGAAAAAAGCAAGTACGTATCTTGTTCCACTGTTAATCAGGTGAATCTGACAAAACACTTAAAAACTGTAACGCAAATTATTTAAGGTTTTATTACCCAAAATAAATCCCAAGTTTATGACAGTGATTTGGTAATCTGACAGAAATGAGATACAGTGAGAAGAGGCGAACAAGGTGAAAATCACTGAGGAATTTAGTTTCAACAGGGTATGGTGGCACACACCTGTGTTCCCACCCACTCAAGAGGCTAAGGCAGTAAGATGGTAACTTTGAGACTAGTGAAAGCTATTTGGCAAGATCAAGGGTAGACTGGGCAAATGGAGAGTATTTTAAAATAATAATGATGAAAAAACCTAAACAAAACAAGACAAGGCTGGGACGTAGCTCAGTGGTGAGTATGCTTGCCTTGCACATTCAAGGCTCTGGGTTCAAGCTCTAGTACTAGGGGCAAAAAAAGGATTTTGTTTCATTAACATGGATGAAATTACTGGCAGATATATCATAGTTTGAAATTTATTGTATTATATTGAGTAGTCAGTTTTCAATGTCTTTGTTTTGGAGAGTTTGTTTTAAATCTCCACACCCTATGAAGTATATCCTTTTACAGTAATTGGTGTGTGTGTGTGTGTGTGTGTGTGTGTGTGTGTGATTACAAGACTAAACATCATCGAAATTGTAACTGCTTGTGGTTAAGAGCATGGATGTTGGTGTCAGGTTTGAATCTGAGGGCTGGAGAGAGGACTCAGTGGATAAAGTACTTGCTGTGCATGAAAAACAGAGTTAGAATCCCTAACACCCATAGAAAAGTGAGGCAGGTATGGTAGTTCACCTGTAACCTCAGTGCTCAGTTGAACCTGAGCTCACAGCTCAGCATAAGACTCTGCTTGATAAAGTGAAGTGTGCCAGGGGAGGACACCTGACTTCAACTGCTGGCCTCCACATCCACACATATACATGTGTGCTCAGAGACATGTGAACATATGTACACATGTGAACACACACAGAACAAACATCCCAAGACCATTATTTGCTACGTTTAGTGACTTTGGTAAGAAAATTAACATTACCGTGCCTTATTTCTTTTATTTACAAATGGGTAAAAATAAGAGAATCTTCTACTTTTAGATATCGCCTTGAAGATTAAATGCATATGAACACTTGGAAGAAGTGAATAAAGAATGCACCACTGAAATGTCAGCCATTATTCTAAGTCATGGTTTTTCAGGTATTTGGTACAGGGATTTCCTGCACCACAGTCATATGCAGATATCACTGTAATTTAGAAGTTAGTGTGGCAGACTTTCAAAGCTGTTTATGTGAGGGAGGGGAAGGCTACATTTTTAATGGCTACATAGTCATCAATATCAGACAGTTATTTTCATAACTTGGAATTGTTACACTGATCTGTGATTTCTAAACCATCTATTGGCTGATTTCTCCACCCCCATCCCCCCAAAGCAGATACCTCTAGTGAAAAATGAAAGTCTTATATAGGGAACTTGAAGTAAGAAACTCAATGGTTTAGTTATGGAGAGACTTAAAAAGAACAGTGAATGAAACAGTATCACATACCAGCAGTACAGCATCATTTAGTAATTTATACTGTACATATCTCTGTGTGAGAACAAGCAGCAGTTAGCCCAATTAGCCCAGTTTATGGGGGCTACACTTGGAGAGAACACTGAAACAATGCAATGGGACATGAGGCTCACTAGGGCTTAAAAAGTTGAAAATCTATTTGCAGGCAAAAGGAAGTCACTGTAGTTGTTTTGGAATAGTGAACTAAAGATCAGTTTAGATTTGCTATGCAAAGTGAACCGCAGTAAAGTTGAAGCTTAAGGTCAAAAGTGCGCAGAGGAAACAGGCAAAAGAAGTAGGTGCTACATTAGATAAAATGAGAACAAAAAGTTCAGATAAAGTAAACAATCTTGACTAACATTCATCTTTTTCATGTTCTTCCTTCCTAAAGGAACTGCTTCCTAAAAGAACTTCAATATTCTATTGTACCATTTTTCTAGGACACTGCTCATGTGCCTTAGGGAAAAATAATTCCACACTGGGCTTCCAGGTAAGCAAAGGCATTCTAAAGATAATCTCACATACTTTGCCAGAGATTGGGTTCAGAAAAGCCCATGACCTTTTCCTGAACCTATGAGAAGAGAAATGTGTTGAGAATTTTGGGGATAGGTCTTCTTCCTGGGAATTCTTCTGTAAGCAGAAGAATCTTTGTTCTTTGCTGTTGAATGTGATCAAAGTATTGTATAACCTTGAAAGTGGATAGTAGCAGCTTGGAATGTGAGGGAAAACTATGTACAGGAAGACAGAGACAGACCAGGTAGCACTGGTGCTGATACACTGCACTGAACAACCCCGAGAGGACTCAGTGAGGGGAGCCAGTACATTTCTCTCGCATTTAATGACTGGTAGCAGCTCTGTTATCTACATTGACGTTATATGAAATCATATGAAATAATATTTCATGCTTTCCATAAAGGAAAGCATTGGTTAAAGAAATCAGGAAGCAATGATGGAAAGTTATCTGCAAAGCTGAGGCACAATAAGATCTAGTTAAACACGCCAGCTTTTTAAAGACCCTGGTGTAATTAAAGAAAGAATATTTACAATCTTCCAGTTAAGAAAAGTGCAATGTTTATTTTGTGTAAATAAAGTCAAAGATAGGAAACTTGAAAGAGTTCTGATAGGATTTGTCCTTGCCTTGGAGATACAGTATATCTTCCAAACTAATTCCTGGTATTTGTGCTTAATTCTTCCAGTCCTGGATCCTTATCTGCTGTTGTTACACAAACTAGCTGCTCCATCCTTCAGTTCTGAACTCTTTCCAAAAAACCTTATGTGATAATTGATGTCTCCATTTATTCCTGGAAATCTTCATTTTCTGGACACTTGGGTTACCATTTAACCACACCACCAACAAATGTTTCCTAATTACTAATCTGAGGCTCTGACCGAGAACTACTTTTTTCCTTTGGTTGCTGAATTCAGTAATCGTGTTACTAATTAACCTCAACAAACTAAGCACACTGAGGCTTTAAGGAAGTTGTAATTTCACACATTTTTCTATACATAACAAAAATATTTTATGATCAAAATATGCTTCTGAATCAAGTAAACACATGTAATTCATATATACCTACTATTTTTGTCTACTTCTTTTTAATAATTATTTAAGACGTACTTAAATTTAAGTCCCATTTTGCCATTAATCAGTTACAATTTTTAACAATTTCATAAACCAGAAAAATATGAAAAGATTTTACCAAGATATTATCAGTGTTTTATGTGAGAAAAATAAGAAAATTTACATAGATAATTTTTCAGAGTAGAATGATTTTTGCTTGGACTATAAGAACTTACTCAATATGAATTTGATACCATAGTCATTGAAGTATTTTTACCTGATGTTCCAGCTTCATGATTTTTTTCTTCAGGTTTACCATTGGACTTGAAAGCTCTTTGTTCATCTACCTCATCATCCCCCCACCATGATGGCTGCCCATACAATGGAGTACCACGGGGCATAGCAGAAACATCTGAAAGGGAAGGGTAAAAATCACTCAAAAGCAGAAGAAAGAACACAATCCACTTTTTCATGATTGTAGAATTATTTAATTGATTAAGTAACAGTACTTGTATATGACCTTAAACAACTCTGACCATAGCTAAGTAAATGAAAATTAGCATTTACTGATATCTAAGCAATACAACGTGCTATAAATTATCCAACAGCTTTGCAAAGTGCTAAGAGTCACTAGAACAAATGATCTTTAATTGAATATTTAGTGTCATCAACAGAAGACACTAGTTGAAACTGTACAGTAATCGACAAGGTAAAAATGGAACCATTACGATCTGTGTCATTAAGGATAAAAGGTGAAACTAGACTCCCATCCTCAGACCTCTTGGGAACAACTTAGTCCCTTTCTTGGGATCCAGGAGCACCGCTTCTGGACCTGGCCCCGCCCTCACCTCTCTCTGCTTCCCGGGACCTGCACCACCGGGTAACTCTCCTAGCCTGCACTCCCATCCTCAGACCTCTTGGGGTAAGTCTATAGCGCAGCCCTCCGGGCTTTGATTCCCCAAGCCACATTCACCCTTCCATCTCCCCCGCTATTCTCTACTCCTAGTTTGGGCCCTGCGCCATTCCTAGTCTTGGGGCCCCAGACACCTGAGGAACCAATACTGCTTCCTGATCTTTT